ACCATGGCAGCAGCAATGGGCTCAAATGTAGCAATGATTTTGAGGTTGGCACAGGACCAGGTAGTGCTTTATTCTTTGTTCATATGGTCGGTTCTGACTTGATGGCACCTAACAACAACATGATGCTCAGGTGTTTGGTCAAACAGTATTCTTAAATATTACTGTGAAGTGGCACTGGAGGATACGCACTGGACTGGATGAAGTCCACCCACCCACATTACTAAGGGTACCTGAGCCCTGTTGTGGTGCTGTAGGATAAGCACTGGACTGGTAACCACAAGGTCGGAGGTTCAAAACCCACCAGCCACTTCTTGGAAACCCATATAGAGTCAAACCTGACTAGAGAGCACTTACCAATAACTAACATTTCCAATCAGTTGACTTTAGTAGAGGAGAGTGTGTGTGTGTGTGTGTGTGTGTGTGTGTGCGTATGTGTGTGTTCTGTGCTGTTGAACAGGTTCTGATGCACAGTGACCCTGCATACGGTTTCTGACAACCAACTTTGCAGTTACCAAGGCCTTAAAAACAAACAGTGAGATTTTCCAGGAAGAAATCATTCTGCTTCAAGAGTGCAATACAGAAATCCTACCTACATTTCTAGCTTGTTGGCCTGTTCTGAAATTTCAGACTTGCCAGCCCCCAGAATCACACAAACCAGTTGCTAAAAACAGTCAACTGATATATTTCTATGGAGAATCCTGTCTGATACGAGTCAGCTGTTCAGATATAAAAGAAAATTAGAAAACATATATAAAGTTAACACCTTGTCCAAAAATGCGTGTTAAAGAGCATTCTTGGTGATTTCTGGAGGACAAATCCTACTGCACTTTTAAATTCATTGGTTAACCTGCACATTGTAGTGTCAGATTTTCAGGAATTCATTTGCTACTAAAATTACAGACTGCCTGTACTCAAAGCAGAGTACCTAGTGCTAACTGATCTGATCACTTACACTACTACTCTTTGATCAACATAGCTTCAAATGCTGAAGAAAATGAAGCCTGACAAATTAGACATCACCGTAGTGGAAATGAACACAAAACGAGAGGCCAGCTGTGGCTACTGACTAGCTGTGTGATTTTATGTTACTAAGTTCATTGAGAAAGTTAAATCAGACATTCACTCCCTTAAATTTATTAGGTTTAAAAACTATCTTTGTTAATAAATGCAGTGCATCTAAAATTCAAGAGAAAATATAACTTAAATTAAAACATGTGAATGTCCACTAATTGCTAAGACTTGGGATACAAACATAAATTAGGTATGTTCCTCATTACAACAATGTATGTAAATTCTAAAATAAAAGTAACATATACTGTATCAGATATGCTGCAAAAAAATCTGAGCGGTTTTGGGAAGTATATGGAATTTTAGTCAATGAGAGCATCTGGTTTTGCTCCCTATTAGAAATACATGGTTTTCCTCCCTATTAGAAATACAATCAAGTAAGAATAAATGAAATTAGACACATTTATATAAATGCATTTGTAAAATAGCTTTTTATTATTTTTACTATAATGCTGTAACATTTAATAATATTGATACTGCTCAAATATTGGTTTATTTAGCCAGGCAAAAATACTCTCCTTATTCCACTCCCCAATCAGAAGTACAGATGCACTATTCTCTTAAGAGCCCTGTCATATTGATCATTAGATTGTCACATGACATGAAACAGTAATGTTATATACACTCAGTGAAAGTTAACATTTTTTTTATTTCACATTTTCACAGTTTAAAACAGCAACAAAAACTCAAGATTTGTTCTGTAATTATTTACTTTTTCTGTAATACTCCTTTAAAAGTAACGAAAAATTATGAAGCTAAAGGTAATGCTTCTTTTTTACTTTTTCCAGCAAATCAACCTTAAACTAGAAATAGGTATTACAGTTACCAAATGATATATTATTCAGAGACAGCAGATTTTATTCTTCATTTTTATTTATTTTTCTAGTGCCTCAAGTACACAAATGGCACAAAAAAATAAGTTCCAGGCACACCCTTTCAAAATAAAATTGAAATAAGAACATCATATCAGTGAGCTAAGTACTTACTAAATACAAAAATAAGCGTAATTGTATAGATTAACTAGTAAAAATTTAAATCCAGACAAAACACTGAATTTGATTAAATGAATGAAAAGGAATGTTTTAGGTATTTTTGCATTGTTATTACATGCATGCCCCTTTATAACCTACTTTAATTTTTTTAGTATAGATTCAGATTGAAATAAACCTTAGAAAATTAATAAAAAGTTATTTGGGGAGCATTTAAAATGATGCAGTTGAAAAGAAGAGCTGTATTTTAATTTTTAAAAAAGAGCAAAGTACTTGTTAGTCTTCATTCAACAAACATAACTAAGTCAAGAGCTAGTCCTAACTACTAGACAGTGTCTTTTGTATTCATCTATAATCAAATTAATTACCCATGCAACAGATTCAAGAAATTTAATATCATTTTATATTTAAATGCTTAAATACTGAAGCATTTTAAATAATTATATTCTGCATTCAGAGGTATGAAGTTTGTATACCAGCAAAAATTGTTAAGTACTCACTTCAAAGTTAGTCTATGTGTACGTGCACATATATGTACATATGCATACAGGTTCTTTCTCCTTCTATAAGAACTATTTTTAAAGATTTGGCTTAGAGATTTATGACAGTGACTACCCATTCCATTCCTATTGGATTCTGACGTACCCTGACCCTACAGGACAGAGCAGAACTGCCTCCTAGGGTTCCTAAAGGCACAGTCGTTACGGAAGCAGACTGCCACACCTTTCTTCCACAGAGGGTCTGGTGAGTTCAAACTGCTAACCTTTTAGTTAGCAGCTGAGTGCCTAGCCACTGCACCACCAGGGATCTTGATAATGACTACAGGGCCCTCAAAAGCAGGCACAGCTGGTTAGTTTATTATGTTGTAATATCAAAATTAAATTAATTAGAAAGAGTGGAATACCTTGTTACCGGATACTTACAACCACTGCGCCAATGAGTTTATCTGATAAATTCACCATCAATATGGTAATCTTTAATATCATCACCTTGTTCTTTGGTGGTGGTGGTGGTTATGTGCCGTGAAATCAGTTCCGACCCATAGCGACCCTGTACAGGGTTTCCGAGTAAATCTTTACGGGAGCAGAAAGCCTCATCTTTCTCCTGCAGAACAGTTGGTAGTTTCGAACTGCTGACCTTGCGGTTTGCATCCCGATTTGTAACCACTACACTACCAGAGGGCATACAAAATGCAAAAGAAAAACCATTTATTCTAAACATCATACTTCTACTACAATAAAAAGGGTACAGGAACAATCTTCTACTTAAGTATATAGAAAGGTTTGGCAGATATCATCAGCATTATAGATAACATTTATATCTATATTTGATAAACAAAAGCTAGTTTCATGATATACAATTAACAAAATATCATAATCCTTTTCAAGTTGCCTCTGATTTTCAGCCAAAACATTATAAATGCTTTCATAGTCTAAATCCGTCTTTACAGAACAGACTATGAATCATATCAAAACTGCTTTAATTCCCATCATAAACAGTTGTAACCTAATATGAAATAAGTATTCTAGGCATACATATAATTGGAAATGTAAATAGCCTGCATATAGTAACTTTACATTAAGATTGAGTTCAACAGTACCACATATGGTTAGAAGATTCTATCAAGAGGATAACACACAGACACATGTATATATATGTATCTATAAATAAATGTTTTCTATTATAACTTTTTATAATTTCATGGTTTAGATTTTGCTGTTAATACATGAAAGAACACACACATTATATTGATCAATCTGGTACAAATGTTATCCAATACCCTTATTTCGTAACAAGAAGCACAAAAAATTCTAATACAGATTGCAATAATATTAACAAATTCTTAGCAACTTTTGTTAATATTTCTTGTCTAAACATTAAAGTCATTTAATAAAATTTATTTTCTCAAAATAATTTGTCATTCAAGTATCTAAGTTCATTATTACACCGAAAGTGAAATTTCTCAGGTACTAGTCTGAAAAATCAGAGAAAGAATTACAGTAGAACTTTGGCTGTGCAGCACTACTTTAGATTCATGATGGACTCTCTGTCAAGAGGTGCTTTAAGATGAAGAGTAAAAAAATAATAAAAAGCTATTTACAAAATGATAGCATATTTGGTCAAAATATAAAATATACTAATAGCATATATTGCGCTAAAAACATAGGATTTAAATGTATTGTAAAGCAAATTTTTTAATGTATTCAACATGAATAATAGTTTCTCTCTTCACAATCACCACATTTTAATAGATATTTGAATATCAGTAAAATATTTCTTCAGTTTTATAAAGAAATTTCACAGGTCTTCAATTGTTTTTCTGTTGTTGTTATGCAAAGTGTTTTATAATTTAAGGTAATAAATATTTCACATTCAAATTTAGTTTTATGCTACTTCAAGCTTCTAATGGTTTTCCATTTGTTTTTGCTTCCAGATAGAGGTAGATTTAGTAGCAACTGGACATGTCAGACATACTGCCAAAATGCAGTTTTAATAGCTGTACGGCAGTTCAAGCTCACCAGCTGCTCCTCGGAAACCCTATGCAGGGTCGCTATGGGTCAGAATTGACTCGACAGCACTTAACAACAACTGCTAATGTACAGTTCTCAAGAATGCTTTAAAAAAAAATTCATTATGCAATACTTAACAAAGTTCTCCTTTTCAAGCTGCTTTTAAATATATAATGTACTTAATTATTCACAAGTCAGGTAGAAAAATCCAAAGAAACAAAAGACATAAATAAACATACAAACCAAATAAAAGTTACAAGGAAAGATTGCATCTGCATGGAAACATTTGTTTCACTTTGCTTTTCAAAAGTGTATCAGCTGTTTCTTTTCTGTTTGGTGTAAAAACATCCAACATTCCTGCTGACACTGCCAACAAAGCCTAGATATCTGATACCACCATTTCTAACCATTACTTTCCTCCCACTCCCACAGGTTACAGTTGAAACCCTTCCATCGGTGCTTCTTGCTGCTGAAATACAAACTGCTGTTGGGTTTCATCCATCTGAGGTACGATGCTGGCATCTTCTTCTTCTACACCAAAGTAATGTTCCATCAGACCAAAAACCTTTTGGTAAATTTCCTGATTTTCATGGCTTTGCAGAAATTCAATTTTATCCAGACCTATTTTATATATAAAGCATTTATTTAAAATAAAATTGTTACAAATGTCTTAGCACAGACTAGGAGGAGTCAAAAAATACTGCTATAAACTCATGTTGCTGTTGTTAAATGTAGCAATCCTGAATAGGGTTTCCAAAGTTGTGTCTTTATGGGAACAGAAAGCCTTATCTGAGGAGCAGCTGGTGGGCTCAAACCACCAACTTTGTGGTTCACAGCCCAGTGCTTATCATACAGAGCCACCACACTTCCACAAATTTTATTAAACAAAATTTTCAAAATGTGAAGCTGTTGTTTTCTTAACATATTCTCCATCAAGGCCTCTACACTTCTAAAGGAGATGTTTCCATCTCTCTAACCCTCCCCTGAAGAATTCTGTGCTCTTCGATTTACAACATGTCAAATGGCACCCCTTGAGGAACTCAGATTGTATTCCTTTTAATTATTCTTTAAGTTTTGAACAAAAAGAAGTCTGAAGGGGGCAAGACCAGGGCTTTCATTAGAGTGGATGGGGTAAAGTTTCCCAACAAGATTCTTGAATGACAGCCCTTTTTACCCTTGAAGAATGAGCAGGTGTATTATCATGATGGAAAATAATTCCTCAGCACAAATTTCCTGGCCTTTTACTCACCAATACATTAAATTCTCTGAAATAAACCCCTATGATAATCCTGTGTCCTTTGAGAAAATCTATCATGATTACCCTTTGGCATTCCAAAAACAGTCGCTATAACCTTCTGAACTGACCTCTCTTCTCTGCCTTAAATTGAATGGACCAAGCAGACGCCCTCAAAAGCCACTGATTTGTTTGCAGTCATCCACTGATCTCTTAAAACATGTTTATTTGGAATAAACTTAGGCATGTATCAACTTGAACCCTGGTAGCAATACCTATTGACTTACCCCCATATTTAAATCAAAATAATGTATCAACATTTTTGCACATACTGAAAACTGGCACCTATGCCTTATACTGGTATACTGGAATGAGCACAGGCCTGGGAGACAGAACGACTGGATCACACACCCTACCCGGAAATCTGTGGAGTACCTCTGTACTTTAGTTCTCAATTTTAAAATGACAGTTTTAGATTAAGTAACTTCAGAGATCCTTCCCAGAAATAAGTATGTGAAATAACTAAAGCACAAAACAGGGAAAGCAAAAACAAAAAAACAAATGAACAAGCCACAGCACACACATACAGACACAGAAAAACATAGAACAAGCCAGAAGATAACAGTTTGGAATAAATGATTTATAAAGCCATGATTCTTTCATAATAAAGCACTACACATAGCTGTAAAATTTTCAGTTAAAACTTATTTTGAAAAGATGAGGACAATATACAGTACTTCTTATTTTGCTGCTTACCAGAAATAATTCTATCTGGATTAATGCTAAAAATATGTTTTCATTTAATGAAAATAAAAGGGGAAAAAAAATCAGTTTAGATTGTCTTATCCCAAATTAATTTCCATATGAGTTAAGTTAAATGTTTTAAGAATTTAACAAACAAAAGTCTAGCCTACAAAAATTAATGTTCATCAAATCTCTATGGGGGTAATGACTTTTTTAACTTTGAAAGAATTGATTAGAATGAATCATTTATTAAACATCAATGAACATGGTTTGCTTTATTAAAATAAAAAGATAAAAACTGGTGGTGGGGGGGAGCCCTAGTACAATAAATACCTATAAAATAAATTCAAATTTTTATGAAAAAAATTCAAATAGGTACTAAGAGAAAAACTCAGTAACTATTAAATTCTGATGAGAAAATATACTAACACATGGAAAGGACACACAGGATGAATTAACCAAAAAAGGGCGTATCAAACCAGCTTTGAGATTCCATTTACATCTGTAAAATCAGCAAAACAAGTGTGACGGTGTGGAATTGGCTCATATACCACCAGCGTCACTGTCAAGTACATAAATAAGCCTTTGGAAAGCAAAATGAGAAGACACACTAAAAGCTTAAAAAGAAGTCTGTACTCAAGACTCAGCTGAAAACTCATCCCAAGATAAAGTAGTATATTTGTATATATTGTTTTTGTTGTTAAATGTTATCGAGTTGGTTCTGACTCATAGCAATACTTGTAGGGTTTCCGAGGAGCAGCTGGTGAGTTTGAACCGCCAACCTTGAGTTTAGCTTATACTACAATGCCTAGTAGGGCTCTCATGTATATATAGATACACACACACACACACACACACACACACACACACACACACGGATTGCTACAATTCGAAACAGACTTCATGGCACTTAACAACAATATAAACATACATATGCACACATACACATGTCTATATTTACTATATATACACTGAAATTAAATCAATGTAAAATATTTGTACATAAAGACAATGTAAAATGAAACATAAATAATGAAAATAAATTATTAGGGATTAGAATTAAGGTTAACTTATTTTAAAACACGTTAAATTATTTGACAATAAAATCATTTTAAGGAACTAAATGAGGGAAACTGCTATGGCAGATCATTAAGAATTGGTTATAACTACATTTTTAACTGATTTGCTTACCATATGCTTCTTCAATAAGAGCACAGTATGGATTAATGCCTAGTCCACTCTGCTTAGATTCTTGATCTCCAAGGCGTAAAATATTTTCAAGTCCATTTAAAGCCACTTGAACTATTTTGGAGTCCATAACAGTCAAAAGGTCACAAAGTGGTTTAATGCAGTCTAAGGTTACCAAATACCTTCAGAGAAATTAAAAAAGCATGGGAGGTGGGAGACTTAACTACTGCTTACAACAAAGACACACAAATACTCTTCATAGTGAAATGTTCTATAAAAAATTTTAGAAAAATATTCCTATACATATTCAAACATTACAAACATTTAAATCCTCAAGTTGTTGTTGTTGTTAGGTGCAATTGAGTCGGTACCATCTCATAGTGACCTTATTCACAGCAGAACAAATTTCTTTACTCTCCTATCATCATATTTTAATTAAGACTAAATGGTATAATTACAACTAAAAAACACATACACAAATAAATCAGTGCTTGACCTGTTTTGGCATGGCACGTGAGCACTAAGAGTAGTGGTTTTCTAGTGTTTTGTTTTTAAAGTTAAGCCTGTGTACACACACTGGAGAGGGGTTGTATGAGGTTAGGAAGAAACAGAGAGGGAGGAGAAGGGATAGCTAAGTCAGAAAATGCCTCACAAAACAATCACGGCTAGTGTTCTGAAATGTCTGGCATGTTTCAGAAGCAAAGGAGGTTTCTAATAGCAAAACATGTTATTTTGCAAAATATTTTTCAGAAAAAATATTCCACTCATTTCTTAATGCCATGTCTTTTTTCTATTTGCTTTTCTTACAATCTCTATAATGAAAATGAAGTGAACTGCTGACTTATTATCCTAACTGAAAGTCCATATTAAGAAGAAAGGTTTAAAGTATGCTTTGAATTCAGACTAACTACTTGCCATCGAGTCAATTCAAATTCATAGTAAGACCCATGGTGTCTCCAAAGATGTCCCCAACACCCAACATATTTAAGTTACAACACATAGCACACTTACAAACGTCTGCTTTTTGTGGGTTTTTTTGGTACCTCTCATCATTAGTACAAATGACACTGATATGGAAGGTGGAAAGGCACTCAGAATGCGACTGGGGAAAAAATGCCTCCTCAAAGTAGGGTTGACCATAATGACATGAATACAGTTAAGCTCGGGGGAGAAAAATGCACAGAACCTGCATTTGCTGATGGGCAACAGCTTAAAATGAAGAGAAACAGCTGTAAACATCCATTGAAAATTGGAACATGGAATGTAC